GAAAGATTCATTATAAATAACTGCATGACCGGAAATATCAATGGTTTCACAATATGTTCCGATACGTACCTAGAAAACCACAACTGAGGTATTGAAACCGACGTCATAAAAAATACCTTCATAAAATTAATGAAAGTCCACAAGGTTAGAATTGTAATAGGGGGCTGAATTCTGTTATGTACTGACTCCGGGGTAGGGGGTTGAAGAGCGAGCTGCCTGCAAGATTGATAAGCTTATTTTTTCCTGAAGAACAATTAGCTCTTAGGTCATGCAGACCTTCTTGATGACATCTGGAAGTTTGAACCTATAGCAAGCATTAAACCCAAGACTGATGTTTGAGGCATTTTTCAGACTTTGCTTTGTAGTGGACATACTGAATTCACCCAGACCCATGATTCATACCAAGGAAGTGACTTCACCAGTCCTGTGAACTCCCACCCAGAAACTGGCTCTGCCATGAAAACTATTTTGACACTCCCATGACAATTTTGACACTCATCCTCAACCAATCAGCAGCACCAGTTCCCTACACCCTTTCTGCTAAATTATTCCTTAAAAAATCCTATCCTAAAATTCTCAAAGAGGTGGATTTGAGAGATATTTCCTGTCTCCCTAGCTAAGCTGCTTTTTTTTTATTATTAAACTCTTTCTCTGCTGTGACACTGCGTTCTCAGTACATTGGTTTTTTTCTGTGCTTCAGGCATAAGAACCTAGTCAGACTGAAACAATATTATTTTGTGAAGAACTTAGAAATGCTGTTTGCTAGGTGGATGATGAAAATAATGAGAAGCTAGCAGAGCTAAACAAAATACATACACACAAACAATGTTAGTATGGAAAACTATACTATCATATTTAAGAGGAATTCTTACAGTCAATATTCAGCTAAACATAGATAAAATATTTACATTCTAGAGCAATTGTAAATATACTAATTGTAAAATACTACAAGTATTACAAAAAATATTGCATAGCTAGGTATCTCTAGTATTTGCTTTCCTTTGAATTTAAGATTCAAAGTAAATGAAATTATGGAGTGTACTTATTCTATTGCCACCTATGTATTTTTTCAAGTGAAATATATAAAGACATTTGGATATGTAAGTTTGAATGGTACTGTGGACAAGAGATGAGACCTTATTTTACATGCGCTTGCTTCTCTTTATACATGACGGTGTAATTTTGGAGCAAATTATTTGTCTTCCCTGAGTTAGATTTTCTCATGTACTAAATAAGGAGAGTAATAACTACCTGATAACATGATCAGGAAGACACATTGAGATAATTTGCATAAAATACCTAGCACAATTATAGTAAATAGTAAGAGCCAATAAATATAAGTTCTTGTCATTACTATTGTCATCAAAAACTGCAAATTTGCTTTGTAATTTTGTTTAACAGGATGGTCTGGACACCACTGTGAAAAGAAACTTGAGTGCATTTCCACCCCATGTGCTCAAGAAATATGCATGGAAAATGACCCTGGCTCAAAATGTTTATGCATACCTGGATTTATGGTAAATACTATTGGAGATGGTTAATGTAATGATTTTTTTTATTATCTTTGAAATGCAGTAAATAGTACAATATTATATAGTGAAAAATAAGTTTGGAGAAGTGGATCTTCAGTTCTTCTCTCCTTCTCTGCCTGTATACACTATACTTTTCTTAGCATTCTCTTCCCCTTCTTCTCCATTTATCACTCGCACCCTCAGACCTTCTTTTCATGAAGAAAAAAGTTCTGATAAATGGATCCACACTAAGGTGCAAGTGACTTAATGTATTGGCCTTTAATATCTTAATGCATTTGGAAGGAGGATGCCAGTGGAGGAATCGCTTAACACTGTCAGGGTCTTGGCAGAAACTTTTATTTTGCCCAAGGACATAGTACTACTCTCAGGGTTGGGCTCAGAGTATTGCATGTTCAAGGAGGATAATTGTGCTTCCTCAGCAAATCTGAAATGGTCTGAACTCCATTAAAAGAAAATAGACTTCCCTTGGTAAAAATATCAGTATTAAAAGATAGCTTTTGACCATAATCTTTATTAAAACTGACCACAACACATGAATATTGCAAGAAAACAGCAATTGGTAAGACCGTGTTATCATTTTAAATGAATATTTGCAAATATCCTTGATAGATAAAGAAGTACATTCAGGTGACCCACTGCAAGATTAAGGAAACAAACTTCAAGGGTCTGGTCGGTGTCTAAGAAAGATGAACAAGAATAAATGGAAGTGTGGATGGTACTAGAAACACCTGAGCTGAAAGATCAGGAAGGAATTATCAGAAGCAGAAGTGTGTGGAAGAGTTGAAGGAATTAAACAGAAAAATGGTCAATAACTGTCACCAAACAAAATAATTTGAGAAAGCAATTGTGGAAGGACCTGGACTTAAGTCTGATGCTCTTTCCTCTAAAAGGGGATTCCCAGGGCTCATCTGTCTTGGGAAGATACATGAGCTAAAACATAACTATCTTCCTTCCTCTGGTATTCCTGCAATCCTGTGAAATAATTTTATCTTAGTGATCCCAAAGGGATGGGTCTTTGCAGAAGAATTTTAAACACTCTGATACCTGAGTGTGGAAGATATGTAGTAAGTTAATTTTTTGACACCTTAGATTACATCAATCATGGCTTCATTGAAGGACCAGTGGGACAAGCAAGAGATTGAGATATGTATTTTATTTAACTATATTCTTCCACCATTGCAGCTTGGTATATAGAATCTAAATAACTTAGAAAATAAATACTAATTTTAAGATGTTTTTATAAGCGCAAAAAAATTTACTACCAACTATCTGTACAATAATTTTAAATAGTTGATTCCCCAGTATATGTCCTTTCATATTTGAAATATAAATCTATTAATATTCTTTTAATATAAAATCTAAATCTGGAGGATAAATACATTACTATATGTTAAAAATGTAAATATTTTGAAAAAATGATAGTCTTATGAAAACACGTCTACTAAATAGAAGTGTTATGATATAATGTATCTGTATTTTAGTAAAACATCTGCTTAATTAATTTCAAATGGATATTTTTATAACCACTTTCCCAAGTACTTGAAAGCTAAAATGAAACTTAAAAACCTACCATAGCAAGAGATATGTTTGTGTGAAATGCTACAAAGAGATAAGGGAGATTCAGATTTTGCTAATGAATTTGCTATGCTCTAAAATGAGTTGCTAAGGGTAGAGAAAGTTTTATTCATTGAAAAATAATTTAACATTCAAATGTTATTCATACCAATGGTATAGCGGTATGTAGACATTCCAAATAAAATATTCCTAAAGATATACCTTTAAACATAGCATGTAAATTATTAATTGGAATAGAAAGTAAAATAACTTGCTAAAATATAAGATAATCAAAGAAAATATTCAGTCTTTAAGTGATACAATATTAGTATCAAGCTAAGTTAATAAATAATGAAATAAGATTATAAAATGAAAACAGGTATAAAAAATGCATAAAGTCACTGGAAAATTGCTTTTTAGATTCATGTATTCTCCCTCTCACTAATTCTATATGTAAAAGAAAAATTAAAAAATAAAAATCACAATCAGGGGAAATGTCAAACTTCATTGGTATCCTGAATAAAGTATGTCATTCAGAGGAAGATAATTAAAATTGAGACAGACTTAACAAAGGAAACAGTTACAAGAACTAGAAGAAAAGTAAACTGATATGTATTAGTGTTCAAAACAAAATACACACTAGAGTATAGTTGAACATGAATATAATGGGCATGGTGGACGAAAGTCAACAACTCACCAGGGATAAGTCATGGCACCATAGCAACAGAATAGATGGGAAGAGACTAAACATTACATCAGTTATTCCTTTCTAATACAACAGTTGCTAACTTCTCTTGTATAGACTACTTGTATAGACTATGAGCTCCTGAAGGGCAGGGATAATGCTGGACATTGCAGTATTCCTACATGCACAGAGCACAATGCAGATGGTCCCCGGCTCATGATTTTTCAACTTCACATGGTGTGAAAGTGATACACATTCAGTAGAAGTGGTACTTTGAGTACTCATACAACCATTATGTTTTTCACTTTTGGTATCATATTCAATAAATTACTTAATATATTCAGCACTTTATTATACAATAGGCTTTGTGTTGGATAATTCTGCAAATTCTAGGTAAACATGTACGTGTTCTGAATATATTTAAGGTAGGCTAGAGTAAACCATTATGTTTAATAGATTCAGGGTATTAAGTGCATTTTTTACTTACAGCATTTTCAGCTTACAATGGGTTTATTGTGAGGTAACCACATCAATAAATCTAGAAGCATCTATACATGTGTTTTGATTTTGGTCATCATTGTTAAGGTTGTTTTATTAGAGTTCTTGGTATATTAATCACAGTTGTTTTACACTTCTAGTCTGATCATTGCAAAGTCTCTACCGTATCTGAGTCAGATTTTGATGTCTGCTCCATCTCTTCAACTTGCTTTTTGTGTGTGTGTTGGTATGCCTTGGAATTTTATGTTTAAAGCCAGACATATGATGTACTGCGCAAAATAAATGGAGATAATAGACCTATAGCATGAGAGTCTATGTTTATCTGGCTAGAAGTCAGACTGTGTTTGCTATTTGCTGTAGCTATAGGTGTCAAAGGCTAAAAATTTCCTCTTACAGTTTCATTTTTTACTTCCCAGCTGTCTTTTGGTTCTATTAGAGAATTCTTCTTAAATAAGTCTGAGATGTGCAGTTCTTGTTATTCTCTGTTGATATAAAAGAGCCTTACTGATATAGGTAGTAGTGAGGTGTGAGGGGAAGGTAAGTCTCTAACAGTCTCATAATTAGGTTTAGTTTTTAGTGAGCTTATGCCTCTGGACTGTGACCTCCATATGTACTTCTCAGCACCCCATCCCCTAAAGTGAGGCAGAAAAGCTATAGAGGACTGAAGGTGCATGTTTCCCTTCCCCCACATGGAAAGCCAGAGGGGTCTGGAGTTGGGGTATTTTTCTTTCACCATGTCAATTAGCCTCTAAGGAAACAGTTTCACTTCAGAATAGGCCTTGTTAACAAGCATAGAATAATGTTCCCAGAGTCTTTCAAAATTCCCTTCTCTCCACGCTAAAGAACCAGAGAATTTTTCCTATCTTCACTGTGAGAACCTGGTAGTATTTGTGAAAGTAAAACTCATGAAAGTGTGGAAGATCCTCCAAGACTGGGTTCCCCTGTAGTTTTTAACTCTCCGGTTTGTACACACTAAGCCTCCAGCATCGCATCAACAGCAATTTGTTTTACTATCCTGATACTGGCTTCAGCAGTCGTTTCTGCTTCTGAGTTTCTGCTCTGGTAAGCTATGATTCTCTGTATCTGCTTGACAGACTCTTCAGTGTTTGGGGCAGTGGACTTTCCTCTGACCTCAGTTCTCTTAGAGATCTAAGAAGAGATGTTGATTGGTTTAGTTTGTACAGCTTTTTTTCTTGTGGAGATGGGAGTGATAACCTCCAAATTCCTTAAATGTTGGACCAAAACCTGGAAATTTATGGTTGTTTCAAGAAAGAAAGGACCTATAACTATATGAAATAAGAAAAATGAGTGAATTTTCTTTTACTCATGTGATTATTCAATGCGTCGTTTAAAAAACAGATTTCTTTATACTAAATAGGCTTCTCAGGTATATCCCCTTAATGGTTGTCCAGAGTTGCTAGAAGTCCTCCTGGAACTGTTTAAGTCATTAATTTGACTGGCAACCAGACTCTCCATTAACATGTAAAACACAAGAAATTTTAAGTTGTCTTGGATATGTTCACTATTATGTCAGCTGATACAGTAGTACATTCAATCTGTGTAAAGGATATTAAAATATTTCAGATTATTGGATGTGCAAATATTGAAATTCTGATTTAACATAAAACTACAAAATGTAATTTAAAGTATTTTTGTCTCTACAATTTGTAGGAATTCTCTTCACACCAATTTATGTTTTCCTGAACCCTCCATTATCCTCCTTCATAACATATATTTTCAAAAAAATACCACTATTATTCATACTCTGATTTAAGCTCTTTTAAAAGCTTTCAGTAATTAGATAATCATAAAAATGCTAATTAAGTTACACATTTGTGGGGTTAGAGAGGATTGACATCATTACAATTAATTTTCTATTTCTTAATGAAGAGTAACTTAGAAAGTAAACAGTCCCTGCTGGTTATGAGGATGGAAAACTATTTTTTCTTTATTTCTGAGTATTAATTTTTGGTAGATAACATTAAAGACCTGACCTCTCAGGTTTTTCTTAATGTTTAGAGCTATGACAATCTCTGACAAGCTGATAATTAGTGCAGATTATTCTTTTTAGTAGATCCAATTACAAAAATGAATTTAAACAAGATTAAAGTACTTACGTTATTTTGAAATTCTAATGTTCTGTAAAAGAATTTAAATGACAGAACACAATTGTTTGGATGTGCTAGACTTGCTAAAAAATTCAAGACAAATGATCACCCTCCTTATAATTTGAGCAGAACTGCTCATT